ACATACACTCACCACACACACTCTCTCTCATTTTGCTCTTTGCAATTATGTTTTTTTTATAGGCATTAAAGGTAGCTTCTCCGGCACATTTCTTGTCAAGTGGAGTGGACAAGAAAGCCACAAAATATACCACCAATTGTGGCACTAATGATGCTTCCACAAAGTGGTGGGGTTTTGCCACAAAATGGCAATTTCCTAACAAAGAGTACGGTCCATAATTTCCATACAAATAGGTAGTGAATCAACACATGATCTGAAGTCTCTATTACATTTGTATAGAATGGACAAAAGAACCGATCCTATGATAAAAGAAGACAGCTATATAAGAAAGATCTTGTACACAGTTTATTTTGAATGGCTAACCAAATAAAATTTTGAATCTTTGGAGGAGCCATGAATTTCCAAACTTGTGTTTGAAAGGGGCTTGATCCACTACACTCGATGCTATCAATTAAAGTGGTACAAGATTGCATTGTAAATTTTCCATCCGTGCATAAATTCCATACCTTCAAATCCGATTTAGTATTACGAAGCTTTACCTCTAGAAGAACCCGATGCAAAGATATTTCCTGCTCAATTTCAAATATTCTTGGAGTTCTCCTCCAATTGGCATTCCACACATAACTACCATTCACCCACGATTTCATTTTTGAAATTGTTGTTGTTGGTGCACTTGAAACCTTATATAATCTTGGAAACATAAATGGCAGGCCCTTACCCATTGGATAACTAGTACACTCATGTAGAGCTTCAGAAGTGGTTGAACCCGGCTGAGAGAGAGAAACAATATGTTGCCAGAGACAAGATAATCCCTTGCTAGAAATAAGAAGACCATTTTTGAAGATCGGTCTATATTTTTTGCACACCACCTTCTGCCATTTACCTCTAGATATTGAGCTTAGCCTCCACAACGATTTGAAAAAGTATGGCTTTGATCTTTCCCAAAAGTGAGCCTATTCTCAAACCTCCCCTCTCATTCTCTGATAACTACCTTCCATTGCACTTTGTATGTTGCTCGTTGTTTAGTGACACCTGCCCATAGGAATGTCCTTTGAATAGAGTTTAAAATATTGTAAACCCCTTTTGGCATCAAGATTATAGACGTGAAATAATTTGGTAAGGAATTAAGCATATTTTTAATCAAACAGATTCTCCCATCAAAACTAAGTGACTGTCTTTTCCATGATGATAGCCTATTGCGAAATTTTGTCATAACAGGTTTCTAGGTAGATATTCTATTAGGATTAGCCCCCAAAAACATGCAAAGGTAAACTAAAGGTAAAGATTCTTGTCAACAAAAAGCAGTATTTGCCAGAGCTAAACAATAGCTTTCAACACGATTAATTCCAACAACTGAATCTTCTGGAAATTTATTTTGAGACCAGAACATAATTCATACCATCAGAGGATTTACTTTACCGTGAATAAAGATTGCAGACTGGCTGATAAGAACACCAAGGTGTCATCGCATATTGCTAGCGAGTAAAAAACTCTCCACATCTCAATTGTAGCCCTTTGAATAAATCGACCTTTGATGCACAGTGAAACAAGATTGCTAATCCTTCTACTGCAATGTTCAACAAGAATGGAGATAACGAATCACCTTGACGAATTCCACGCGTGACCTTGAACTCTCTAGCAGGAGACCCGTTAATAAGAACTCATAATTGAGAAGTAGAGAGACATTCATATATTAAACTTCTCCATTTAGCTCCCAAACCCATATATCCCATAATCTCATCAAGATAATTCCACAATACAGAATGAAAAGAATTCCACGATACAGAATGAAAAGCTTTATGTAAATCCACTTTGAAGATCATACCTTGCCCCCTCGAGCTTGGCAAATCATGAACCATTTTATTGGCTATCATAAAACCATCAACAATCTAACGTTCAATGATAAAGGCAGTTTGATTCTCACTAATAAGATCCTGGCTAACATGTTTGAGTCTATTGGAAAGAATCTTTGCAAGAACTTTATAAAGACTATGTATCAAACCAATTGGCATATAATCTGAAAATTCAATTGGAATCTTATAAAATCATACAAATGATAATTGTTTGATAGCCACCATACAAACGG